ACTAAAAGCAATTAAAAACATTTGAATAGAAGATATACTTAACTGTCTTTTGAAGCAAGCAACCCTTAACATCTGGATGTTATATAACACCGGAATGAAAAGTACGCTAACTGTATAGTCATGTTAAACATTTTTATGGATAGGATTAACTGTATTTCAGTATCCACACGAACATGGTCAATCAAAACAGAATTATGTGAGTACAGATGAGATGATGTAGAGATTGGCTTAATTCGAATACATTTTATGCTGATATATACTAAGAATAAATAATGAAATTAAGATTATCTGGTTGTTTCACTCCTGTATCACAGTGGGTAACTACATTAGTCTACTTTTCATTCAAACTATATACAAGACTGGTTACCCGATGAGCGAATCAAGATTCTACTGGGTATCAAAAAATCTAAGATTTACGGATCATAATTGTGTTAGTAATTTCATTATTCGTTACTACATCTTTTTATACCCATGACACAATATTGAAATAATAAAAGTTCTCATTATATGAAATTTATGTTACATTACCATTAGCATACATACCTTCCAAAGTTTCTTCCCACAATACAGTGCCATGTAGGTCCATATTTCTTATCAAATTCTTTTTTCACAAAAGTGGCAACATCTTTTTCAATATTATGTTCTTCCATAGCCTGAGCCGTAATGTCTACAGCGAACTGCTGCATATCTTCTGACATGTCAGCATTTTTAACTACTGCTTTTTTAAGATCCATTTTTCAAGAAAACAAAACAATTCAGTGCCCTTTTTCCAAAGACGGTAAAGATAATCACCCAGTCAAAGAGTATTACAGATATTGTTAAAAACCTCAATTTATAGCTTATCTATCTTGTTTGAGTGATCCAATCGATTTTAGTAGCTTAACTTCACATCGGTGGACACAGATGTAGATTAACAAACGATAAATTTTTCATTTTTGTGTGCCAAGATTGAGAACATTGATTGGACGAATTAATGTGCATGTGAATGCAGTAGTTCTGTTCGATGTAGGAGTAGAATCGAACTAAACGATATCGAGTTGCGCACATAGTTACGAGTAGGCACATAAATATGTACAGTACAGACCAAGTTTCTCTCACCCTGACTGAAAGCGCTTTCTATTAAGTGACTGAATTAAAAACATGAAGTTAAAACTTAGTTGTAGACTAAGAAATGCAAAACAGTATAAGCATACACTTACACACATACTTTAAAAAAAAGTATTTATCAGTTTTGATAAACATTTGGAATGAATCGAACTGAGCAGTGAATTCCATATTACAATGTGTTACAATGAAAAAAAAAAACTATCAAAAATAAAACCATGGTGTAAGATTAGAGTTATAGATTTTTTGATTTCGAAAGAGACAGACTAAGGCCTTAGGTAACCATTTTGACTCTACCCACTTTGTATCTGCTTCTGGCGGCCTGCTTAAGATTTGTGCTACCAAAAACCTCCATCATTAAATTGCATATATTTTCTGTTATTCATTTTGTTCTAATCAATTGAAATGCCTTTGCTACTGGCACTATTTACTCTCTTGAGCATTTAAAGTTTTACAACCTGCTGATTCACAATTTTTTACTAAATTTGAGAAAAAGGTGTAGTCATAGGTTACAACGTATATCAATACATGGGATAACTGTTCTCGAGTTATATCCTTGGGTCCCAAGCTATACTGCCGAACTTCTTATAATTGGCTCTCAGCAGAATGTCGCGCATTTCTCAAAGGAGACCCAGAGGAGGTATCATAACGTATTGGTTAAGACAGCACTGTCAGGGTCAGACAGCACTGTACCAGTCTAAGAATTGTCAAGTAATATTTTTATTTGTAGATCTTGAACAAAGAGAAAATATCATGAGATAAACTCTGCTAAAAATCCTGTACATTATAAAATATAGACATTATCCAGGATAAAGCTATTATTATAGTAACTTATTATTTTCTTTTGATTACAGCTTGATTCCACACCGTATTTTCGGTACAAGTATTGAATTCTCAGCATACGATATCGGTAGCCCAAATTTTGTAGTCCGACCATTGATATCAGGTGTGCGTCGGGGGGGATATGGAATCCCGGACCATGTTCATGGTCGGCGATTGTCCCAACCCCTGTGCCAGCAATGCACACTACTATAAATCTAAACTCAAAAATACTACACTTATTCTAAATGAAAAATTCTAAAGAAGTGGACATTTTGAACATATACATAACTAGAAAATGGACAGTTTGTCATTTTTGTTGGGGATAGTCTGTACAAATAGATTATATTCATTTTAATACTTGATAGTGCTATCAAAATGTGTAGTAGTACATTGCTGATAAAGTTGTAAGAAGGGAGACACCTACTAGAAGTAGCAATTGTACTATGGTGGATAGCCAAAAGTTATAGTAGAAAGAAGCAGAATGAGGCTAGTTCATATAAAAAGATTTCCAAGATGAAAACAGAGAAAAAACATGAATACTTTGCTTACCTCTCTCTAAAGCCTAAATTTCAGTATTCCTCAAAAACCCTTGATCAGTCATTTGTCTTACCACAGTCCCGTCCTCTAATCTACAGTGTGTGATTTAACTCTAATTAGTGACATATACCTATAACTACCTGAATTATCTATCCTCTTATCTGCCCCTTATACTTCATTTATTGTCTCCATCATTTTTGTGTTTAGAACTGTCACACATGATACAAGCGTTGCTGTAATGGTACTTCCTATTTTGACGGTTACTAGTGAAGATTCTTTTCGACAAATATTAATCAATCATACAATAAAGATCCACATAGCTAAGGAATTTTTCTGTATTGTAGATGTAAGCTTTTATGTCATTTATTAAATATTAAAATAAAAACGTAAAATGTGATTTGGTCAAATGATTCTTAGAAAAATATTTCAAAGTAATATTTGATACCACTTACAAAATACCACAATATATAAGGAATTTATAGTTCTTCATTCATTTAATAATGTGTGCTCTTTAGCTGTTATCATTAGTGAACAATCTTTACATACTCTTGAGTATTATTTGCATTGGATTCTTACCTAACTGATACAGATTAAAAGCTTTGAGACAATATTCGTTCAGCTAAATTTGTAGAAAACCATAAAGCCTAGGTAAAAGGCTTAATAGTCGATGACTTTTATTGCTAACTTCAATGTTTCTATGCATCAGTTGCCTTAATAATTCACAGAAGCTAATGATTACAACAGACGTATGAGTAGATATTACTGAACTAACTGCAAACATTATACAAATTTATTCGCCTCTAGTTGTACACTAAAGAATACTGGTTCGCATCATTTTAATTAATCAATGTATTCATTCATCACTACTGGATTACGAGTTGAACAAAGAGCTTCAACAAGACATAGCCACTTTATCATGGTCTTTGCACTTCTTTTCAGCCGCCTCAACGATTGCCCATAAGCTTTCATCTCCGGACGATGTCCTCCATGTCACTCGTGGATACTGCACTCGTCTTTTCCCGTCCATTTTCCACTCATGCGTATAGCGTGACGTCATCCAGAGGTCTCCTTAGCGTGTCTCTGATCTATCTCCATTTTCTTCGGTATATTTGTTTAGCAATAGGTTCTTGGTTGGTTCGTCCCCCTAGTTTCTTGTTGCTGATCATGTCTGTCCAGCTGATATCCACTATGGAGAGAAAGCATCTTTTGGCAGAAATATGCAGCTTGTTAGGTATGCAGTACAAGATATGAATGAATGAGAAACATGTAAGGTAAGGATTCCATTCCCTAATATTAACTTATCGCCTGTTTTCGTTAGAAGATTTGGATGTATATTCATAATTTTCGTCACTGTAAATGTCTGTTCATAGCAGAAGTATGCGATGAGCATCATCTTTAGAAAGTGATATTTTCAGGTCACTGATGTCAAAAGTTGAAAATTTTGCATAAAGATTGGCTTTCCTCTACTGCTTGTCACACAGTATGTTTTTTAAGTTGAATTTAAAGACTTAGAAATACGAAAGAGAGGATTCAGAAAACTAGAAGATCTGACTGTGTAATTACTCAGGAGTTCCGTTTTCGAAACACTTCTAGTATTGCTGAAGTAGAAGATATATGAACTAGCAAATTACAGTGTTCTTTTCAGCTAACGCATCTCGCATATGATATTAATTTCAGAAACTTCATGTATATTCATTCTTAATGTCCAAGATAAAAATACAATGAGTTTAGTCACGGGTAGTGTTGTGTCATTTAGACGTATTTCAGTTTAAACATCTAGGAATAGACAAGCAAATTGGTCAATGCGTATTCAACAATTGGTATAAATAACACGAGCATTTGAATCCACTCGTCAGCAGTTTTCAGTTGGCTTACTTTGCATTTTATATCCAATTTAAAACTATCACGTATGATGAGTAGTAAGCAGCTTCGCCCTGATGAACATCTTGTAAGTATGATGACCTGCACGAACGATATTTTCAGTTCTACCTGATTTTTCTTGAAGAAATTAGTTTCATTATCCATTTTTCAGTTGAAACTTCATTATTTAACTATGCATGACTGTGATTATTCATTTTCCTTGGGTATTCACCAAAGGGCAATAGTACTTTTGAGAAAGAGACTAGTTTAGCTGTGATGAGGTAAATTCATCAGCTGCATTTCACACTAATTTCGGATTGTTTAAAAATATCATCGCAGAACTTTTCAAGTTGAACGAACAATGGAGGTTCAATGTTTAATTTTCACTTTCAGAATCCTCATCTCGTTGAAATATTTTTCATTGTAAAATTTTTAAAACTCTAGTGAAGCTTACTAATCATAATTAAGGCAAAGAAACTTTTTGGTAAAAAGTTTTAGTCATGCGCTGATGACACATGTGATTTCTTATTTCTATAACTGTTTTTTTCTATTTCTTTTACTCATGTGTTTCTTATGTATCTACTTAATCACAATCTCATATAAACACAGTAATTATAATTGAATGTAGAGAAAACGTCCTATATATATAAATATTCTATGCAAAGAAATAGCAAACAGATATTATACTGACAAGCATAAAGTTTATCAAATATCAGTAAACTCCGATTATTCTCATTAGATATCATGTCACCACACAGAGCTATTGTGAAAAATACAAATCTACCGCCAGATATGCAAGATCAAGCAGTAAAGGCATGCTTGAAAGCAATGACAACGTGTAGACATGATAAAGATGTGGCTGCTGCTATAAGGAATACATTTAATCAAAAGTATGGACGCACATGGCATTGTATTGTTGGCGGTAGTTTTGGCAGGTAATTTGACGAAAATTTGTATATGCATATATGCATATATATGTCTTTTAACATTGGCTTTTGAAGTGTTTCAGTATTGGTAATTTTAAGTCCCAGTTTTATTATATTAGTGAAAATCTCTCAAGCGATTTTAAATGTTTTTTGTGATTTCTTTAGCAATCAATTGGTTTTGACCAGTTTAAGAATTTTTACTCAACTGGTATACCATGTTTAATTAGTGATATTTGTCTGTCGCCATTTATACTGAAATATATAAATGCAAATATAAGATAGTTTTTGAATTTATATGCGTTCGAGTTTTTATGAATACTATTTTATAGGAGTAGAATTCAGTGTCACTTTGAATATAATTTGGTACTTCCTGCTTCAACCTGTTTACAAAGCGAAAAGGTATACGGGAAAAAACAATATTTGCATTATGTTGCTACTTGTATACATCCTCTGAAAGCCAATGTACTTGTTCTAGGAGGACCAGGGAATACACAGTAAGCTGAATTTAGAACAACAGTAAGATCATTCAGAGTACGAAGTGTTATTCCACGATTAGCTACCTTAGCTAACTAGAAACCGCTAACGAACAACTGTAAGAAACGCGACAGCGGGTTAAATGGCCTGGATGCTTGACTGTACACATTTAGCTTGTCCAGCTGACTTAATTAGTGGTGGTAACCACTCATTGTTGCAAAGTGTAAGCCATAAACTAACAATTTCGAGGGAGTATTTTCTGCAACACTAAATTGTGGTTCAGGTTTTATAAACTAATTCTTCGAAAACGCCAAAGAGTGTAAGTGAAACCTAAGTGAGTTCTCCTACAGTGGTCGTTCAGCTATTCTGATTTCTATCTTCAGCACATTAAGGTTTATTATTTGAAATGTTTAAGTGTTTTTGACTGGGTAACTAGGGATAGAATTAGAATAGGTGGTGCATTTTTGAGATAATACTTTAGTAGAAGAAGTTTCAGTGTGGATAAAGAGAATCTCAAGGTATTTTTACTGCATTATGTTGTAACGACAACAGAGATGAAGGCACTCAACTAGGTGTTAGGCAGCTCAAGGATTGTTTATTTATGTTGAGATAAGTCTGTCATTCGGATGGACAACTAAAATATAGCGCGAATGAAGCAAACGCGACACAGTCAAGTATTTTAAGTCCTTGTTTTTATCAAACAAGTTTTCCCTTTGTAAAGAAACAGTGAATGAAGCAGAATAACCGAGATAAAATGAGCTTTTTCACTTGAAAGACTTAAAAATTGAAATTGTTCCTTTGGATTTACAATGTAAGCTACTTAACCTAAGTAAATTGGCTGTGAGATGATAATTCTTTCGATTCTTTTCAACAAGGTTTCTAAGTTTCCATATCTATACAAAATATCTATCAGCTTTGCCTGTTGTGATATCTCTTAAAAATTTTCGCTTTCATTGTTTAAACTGAGCATGTAAAGTTTTTATTAATACGGTGTAACCATAATTACTTAACCGTAATTACTTTTTCTAAAATTTTTGTTTCTTCTAGTAATGTGAGTCATATAGACACAGGACTGATTTACTTCTTTATGGGACAAAAATCAATCTTGCTGTTTAGATCAGAAAAAAGTAATGTATGATAACAAATATCAAGCGATGAAAATCTCCCAATTCATTTTGATAGAACCTTCAAATGCTTTTTTTAGATCAAATTACTGAAAATTTTATAAATATACATTATGCATGAAATTTTGTACTGTTATATGTTTTAGCAGAATGAATATCTTTATAATGATTTTAAAAGAGCGGTCACTAGTGATGAAAAAATGCAGGAAGGAAACCCTGAAATGTAAATGATCAGTGATCACAACATTGATTACTATGCAATGCTGAAATTTGATGTGAGCTATTGAAAATTCGGAAGACATCTGTAACCTATTCGGAGTGCATTTAAATGAAGTTTGTATTGAAATTATTTGTCAAATTGCCTTGGAAAAGAAATAAGGAAAATAGGTATTTACTGAAAAGGTTTCATAAAGATTAAAATGTAAGGTATTGTGTTCAATAAATATCAGGGTCTAGTTGAAATGCAACACTAAGTGGTGTTGGACAGCTAGTTTGTGAATCCTCATCAGCACACTCCCTCTGAGGGTTCAAACCCAGGACTCGGTTAGTGCGTACCGGTGAAGAGTCCCAAACTAGGACTGAACAGCTGTACAGTACTTCCAGGTTTTCCAATGGTTCTCTAACTGATGTCAGCTCATGATGAAATCCTCCAGCCTATAAATATTTGACTGATTAAACGCATTTTGTAGAGTCGAAAGAAATAACTTTTCCATTGAGCCTCTAATAGAAATCACAATATGATCCGGTTGAGATTCAGGAATATTTCCTCAGTCTGCAACGTTTAAAATATTTGTGTAATCGCATAATAAGGTTTTAAAATAAAAAGGATTATTGTTACTATACCTAGCAGAAGCATTTTAGTTTACGAAACATCAAATTAAACGATCGTTGAGTAAACGTGGTCAGTATCACATGAATACCATGAATACATGACACAACAATAATGAAAATAAAATTAACGATTCACTTCAAGAATAAGAAATTAAATGAAAGAATTTTGTAAATGAATGAATTATTTCTTTAAATGATATGCAGTTAACTAAGTACGCGTGTGCATACGACCATGGCTATCTACAATGACAAGAATCTTAAATTAATTTTAAACGTAATATGAAATAGCACTTTGTTTTATAAGCTTCTAAAGTTGCTCAGAAACTTCCCGTAGAATGTAAACAGAAATGTATCTTATTCTATAACGAATTACGCAGCATAACTAAGTGTTTGGAAGAAATAAAAGGGTATTTGGGTAAAAAGGAATTGGTTTTATATCATCCATTGTCTTGTGAAATAACTAGAGGAATAATAGTAGTGAAGTAATAACCAGGGGTACCGTTAAGACCAATACTTGATATGCAAAATTCTCCGTACCATGCTCTACCTAGATGGTTACTAACATTTCTCAAACCCTTACATGAGATATTAAAACATAGCGTCAAAGATGTATTTGAATTAGTAGACAAAATCAAAGATATTAATATCAAGGATAAAACTGTGGTATTTTTGGACATAACAACTTTATTCATAAATGTACCTTTACTAGAAACGGTCAACTACATATGTGAACCAGTATATAACCAGTCAGTAAATATTGGCATCCCAACGGAAATCCTAAAAGAATTTTTATTAAGGTTAACCATGAGCGTGAATTTCAAATTTTATGGTACACTTTACAGACAAGTGGACGGGTTGGCAATGGACTCTGCTTTGGATCCCATTTAGTAGATTTGTTTGTAAGTTAACTAGAAAATGGATCTTTGAAGAGCTTTATCAAAAAATTCTCATTGTATTGCTGGTATATGGATAACACCTTTATTCTTTGTGACAATGATTCGGATTGGAACACATTAATAGCTAAATTCAACGAAGTACATTTTGCTATGAAATTCATATGTGAAGAGGAATCCCAAAATAGAATTGCCATTCTAGATCTCCTGCTTGTGAGAAAACCAGATGGTAGTAAAAAGAGAAATTTGCATAGGGAAAACACATGGACAGGACAATATACACATTTTCATAGCTTCGTTCCACTCCAGTACAAAAGAAATTTAGTAAAGACCTCCAGCTACAGAGCCACAGCTATATGCTCAGAAGAAGTAACTGAAGATGAGCTAATGATTGTGTATGACACCTTAATTTAAGAAAGCAGAAAAGGACTATTCTTCATCTGTAAATAAGAAGCCTTTATATACACGACTGCAATTCAAGGGTGACGCACTTAGTGAAATAATTGCTAACAAGTTAAGAAAATTTATTCAAAGAACTTTAAATGCTGGTAAACTACAAGTCATGTTTTCTATACGACCAATGGTGATTCCTTGACTGGAAGATAAAGTAACTAGACTAGACACCTGTAATTGTATCTACTGATTCAACTGCACTTGTGCAGCGAGTTATGGTGTTCGTTGCTCTAGGAAGTTGATGTTTCGTGGTCGAGAATATCTCCCGGTATGGTTAAGTAAAGGTGTAGTAAAAGTTATCAACAGTTCAATTTAAAGAACACCTAAATATGCTTTCTTCAAAATATAGATGTGACTAGCTTAGTTTGAACTTTTGAGTAATTTTAAACAAATTTCTAAGTAAATAGGCATACGTATGATTGTTAGGATAATCTAGATAAACATAAGAAGGATAGGTGATCATACGCACTAGCTCAATACTTTGGTAATAAGTTATAACGTGATTTAGATAAAAAAGCATATTCACTGACAGTCAAAAATTATTGTTGAAATTTTTCAATGTACAATGCACACATCAATCGTCAAAGACTGAAATAAAGATACTAGAAAAATTTGTGAAAACGTTTCGCTAATTAGAAATTTGATTATTTACCATCATATTTTCACTAGCATAATCGGAATAAGGTTTTCGATCGCCTGGAGAATAGGATGTGTTTACTTTGTGAAAGATCAACGCCTACGATGAAAATTTTAATATTTAAATGGATCCATTCAGGAAAGCCATTCTTCATATACATATACATACATATATTCTACCCTTGCTATCAGCTGGTAAACAAGGGGCGCTTCGGTTGGGAATGGAGCATTGGACCACGTGAGTCGTCCGCAAGCACTCAACCAGTAAATCACTATATACATACATATATACATTCTGAAAAACTGGTACGTGAAATGGAATATGATTTCAGTGGATATGGGGTGGCAGGCTTTTACCAAATAAGCCGTACTAACAAAAGATTCGAAGGCAGTTACTTAAATTTTAACCTCAACCATTATGATTGCTAGCCGCAGATGTTTCATTTAGACTAATTACTGTGCATACATATGTAAAAATATAACTGTAATGCCTAAATCATTCAGAAGACAAATATTGGAAGATCATTTCATGGAACGTTAAACAATGTCTTAGCTTTCAAGTGTTGGTTTGCATGGCTTTGATTAATTTCAAATTCAACCATGCATTGACTTCAGTTAGTGAAGCACTGAAAACCGGATAACATTGAACAACTGCTGCTTTATTTTGTGAGGGACTCTTCATCAGTGGCCCCCCAAGACCACTGATGTGATACAGAGAGGCATTTCAATAATTATTCATGTTTTAATAAACCAAGCAGTATAGAACACACGAATTAAGAGTGTATACGATCAGTCCGGACTCCATCAACCATATTTATTGAAGTAAAAGTCTTGAGCTCGACTGATGTAAAGTCCATATTTATTAAACTTTCACATCACGAAATATTTGACTATATCCTCACTCATAATAATATAAGTAAAATCCAAATGACTTTACCTGTCAAATGTATTGAAGAACCCATCCTAACACCAATAGTAAATATTAGAGCTTACTTCCAAGGTAAATTATACAAAAAACGGTTGGTGAGTAATGCAGGTCCAAATTCGACCGCTGATAGATAACCTGCTTATGTCAAAGTGGAAAGAAGGAAAAATTACATAAAAAAATTTTGCTTTTCTGAAGGTTAAATGATTAACACATTTGTCATAAGCAACAACTGCCACCTAGTTAACATATAAGAAATCAAAACACGTGACTCAATGGTGTCTTTATTTCTGGAGGTTCGAACACAGCATAACTGTACAACAACATAGAATCCTATGCGGCTTTGGTTAGTCGTCTCTATCTTTAAATATTTCTTTTAGGCATTTAAGTTATATTGAAAATACCATATTCGAAAGGTAGGTTTTTATTGTAATGAGAAAAGATTGGTACATTTTAAACTTCACCTGAAATTTGATATACATGTAACAACATAAAAAACGGTAAGTGATGAATTCGACCTGAACTCAGATATTATTAATTAGATACAAAACCCTATGGTTCACTAAGTCGTCTGATTGAGGTAACACCTAACTTAATAAAAGTATCGACAAGTTAAATTGAAAGTGAGTCACGATGAATTTAATTAAATTGTGTACAGTTTATTGAAATACTTTTACATGTTACCTGAAATCCTAATTACTTGATACTAACCTTAGAAATTAAAATTAAATATTCATTAAATTATTTAAAACATTCATTTAAACATTATGTGAGGAAGTAATTCAATACAGTGTATAAATTGAAATGATTTCAGATGATTTAATGTACACTCTAGTAAATATTTCAATAGACACAACTTACGCATATGACATCTAAGGAATTACGGCCAAGTTAAACTTTAAGCACCACTCACTACCAATGGAGTGCGACCGCATCAACGACCTTGAAACACTCAGTGAGCAAGTTAGTGAAACCTGGCAATTAATTTTGTCATCATCAATTAAACATGCTCACCAAAGTGTTAGATTATTAAATGGGATATCTGGGAAGTTTCAGCTTAGGTTTGGGAAAGATTAAGTTACGGTTTAAGCCAAGGACAAGTTAGAGTTAGGTTAACCTACTAAAGGTGACATCAAGGTTTGTTTGAACTAACCTTGATCAAGTTAGATTAGGGTTAGTTTAGGCATATTTTCACGTTAGGGCTAGTTTTAGGAAAGATTAGGCTTGTTGTTAGGGTTAGAAGACCTAAATAATTACATGCATAGAATGTGGTTAA